CAGTTATCATAACAATATTAACAAATTATTGACATTAAATTTAAATGAGAATAGTACTATTGTACTACTTCATGGGGATAGTTCATCTGTAAGGAAACAGGAAATTGTTAATAATATGGAAATATTACTTAACTTACATTATAAAACTAAGTGCAAATTTATATTATGCTCATTTCCATATTCCTCTTTCCTTTCAGAGGAACAAAATAAATACATATATAGTCTTAACATGACTATATATAACATAACTCACCGTCATAGTGACGCTTTCTTTTATTTTGACTTAAATAATTTTATTAAATCTAGTTTTAAGGTGACAAAAAATACTTTGTATTTGCCACTATATTATAAGAAACTAATTGCTACTCTAGTAGCATATAATATACAAAACCCAGTTGTAAATAGTACAACTAAGAATATTTTATTATGTAATAATCTTTCAGCAAACAATGTTAGTTTAAACTAAACATTGAGGCCTAGGCCACTTAAATTAAATATTGTGCATCAAAATATACAAGGCTTAGGCGGCAAAGAACCCGAAATTGAATTGTTCCTTAGGAAATTTAATATACATGTCATCTGCTTCACAGAGACATGGTTACATAAGCACTGTAATATTGTTAATATAGAAAATTATAAATTGTTAAGTTTGTTCGTAAGAGTAAATGCTATTCGCGGTGGCTCTCTTGTATTAGTTAGAACTGATATAGTCTGTAAAAATCGACAGGATATAGTGGCACACTCTGTCGAACGTTCTATTGAATTATCCTGCGTTGAGAGTCAACAGTATATTATAGTATGCGTATACCGGCCCCCCTCAGGTGATTTCGATCAGTTTGAGTGTGTAATGGATGATGTTCTTAAAAAAACTATGTTCAAGTAGTAAATCATTAATAGTTTGTGGAGATTTTAATGTGGATTTATTACAAGTAACACAACTCAGTAAACGACTTTTAAATTTATTTAACTCATTTGAACTTAAAAATCTTTTTCATGAACCAACTCGTGTTACTAACTTATCCTCCTCATGTAAAGATAATGTATTCTGTCACAGTGATGTATATGATAAATATGTTATAAATCATCTGAGCTCGGATCACTTTGGGCTAAAATTTTCAATAAATGAAAAAGCTAATACAAGCAAACTTAAGATCAAGTGTAGACCAGTCACTACTAATAGAATAAATGCTTTTAGAGATAAAGTGGCACATCATATGTTAAATAAAGATATAGGAGTCAATAACCCTAATGACTCTTATAGATCAATGGTTGACTTTCTCATATCTTCTTATAATGATACTTTTAAATCGCGCACAATTGCTAAGAATTCAAAATTAAAATTTAGTGACTGGGCAACAGTGGGTATATACAAAAGTAGGGATTCATTGTATGAATTATATAGTATGAGGCAGTGGAATCACGATCCTAACTTCCATAAACGGGTACAAACGACGTTTTCAAAAATATTTAAAAAAGTCTGTATTCAGGCAAAATCTATTTATATAAGAAATAGCATTATAAATTCAAACAATAGAACTAAAGCCACATGGGACATCATTACCCGTATATCTGGAAGAACCAAGATATTCAGGGAACCTATAAAACTAGTTATAGGTAATACTCCCATAATATCAGATAACGAAATTGCGAGTAGTTTCGAAAGCTATTTTTCAGACATTGCGGTTAATGTCACACGTACATTAAAATCATCTCCCGCAGACGCAATTAATGTTTTAAGAAATAATGTTACCTCTTGCTTACACACATTTAAATTTAATCACGTAGATACTTATGATATTATAAAAGTTTTGAATTCTATTAATCTTAAAAATACAGAGGATTTATGGGGTATGTCCATAAAATTAATGAGCATAATAATGCCATATATTGCACCACATTTGGCTTCTATTTTTAACAACTGCATAGATTCTGGAATATTTCCAGATCTTATGAAATTTAGTAAGATAATACCTGTCTACAAAAGTGGTGATAAAAATGATCCAGGCAACTATAGACCTATTTCCATATTGCCATCTCTTAGTAAAGTTTTTGAAAAGCTAATATTAAATCAACTTTTAGTTCATTTTAATGTGAACAAAATCTTTCATGATGAGCAATATGGAGATCACTAAAGGCAGATCGACAACTGATGCGGGCGTCGCACTTGTCAAACATATTTATAACGCCTGGGAAAGATCACAAGATGCAATAGGTGTCTTTTGTGACCTTTCAAAAGCCTTCGACTGCGTAGACCATAAAACTCTCCTTCAAAAGCTAGAATATTATGGTATTCGTGGCATCGCCCTCAATCTCATTGCCTCTTACCTTAGTAATAGAATTCAAAAAGTATCTATAAATGATGTTAATTCCGCTGGGTCCCAGATGAAAATGGGAGTCCCACAAGGATCAATCTTGGGCCCATTATTATTTTTAGTATATATTAATGATCTCCCCTTTTATGCCAATGGGTGGTGTGATGTTGTACTGTTTGCTGACGATACATCGCTTATTTTTAAAGTTGACCGTAACGTATTAAATTATGACGACGTGAATAGTGCACTTTCACATATCCTCCACTGGTTCACTATTAATAATATGGTATTAAATGCCAAAAAAACCAGATGTATTCTTTTCACTCTTCCCAGTATAAGAAGGAAAAGTTTTAGTTTAATATTAAATAACGTACCCATTAATCCAGTTGAGTCTGCTGTATTTCTGGGAATTACAGTAGATTCAAAGCTCCAGTGGAGTCCCCATATATCATCTCTTGCGAATAGGCTGAGCTCCGCGGTTTTTGCGATTAGAAGGGTTAGGCAGCTAACAGACATCGACACTGCCAGACTTGTTTACTTTAGTTATTTTCACAGCATCTTGTCGTACGGCATTTTGTTGTGGGGTAGTGCATCAGATATAAATTATATATTTATTCTTCAAAAAAGAGCTGTCCGAGCAATCTACAATATCGGAGCCCGGAATTCACTCAGAGATCTTTTCAAAGAGGTTAATATACTCACTGTTGCTTCTCAATACATTTATTGTAATGTTTTGTATATACGTCATAACCTTAATTATTACCTAAAGAATAGTGACAGACATAAAATAAACACTAGAAATAAGGACAAACTTACTACGCCATTGTTTCGTCTACAAAAAGTAAATAAGTCTTTCATGGGGCAGGGTGTGCGCATGTATAATAAAATCCCACAGTCGATATTAAGTCTGCCGCTTGACCAATTTAAATGTAAAATTAAAAATCAACTAATGATTAAAGCATATTATACCATTTCGGAATATCTCGACGACGCCAATGTGTGGAGTTGATATTGTTGATACTCACGTAGGCTAGAATAAGACTATTGTACCTGTTTATTATATTGTAAATTGATACTTTTGAAAAAGAGCAACTGTTGAGTTTCTTGCCGGTCTCTTCTCAACAGAAACTGCTTTCCGAACCGGTGGTACCTTACGAACCTATACACATAATCTTTGATGTAAAATTTGACGATTCATAAGAGCGTGCAAGCGTCTATTTGAATAAATATATTTTTGATTTTGATTTTGATTTTGATTGAGGAGGACGTCAGAAAAAACCACGTCGCCCGGATGAACTTTGGCGGCGGATAACTTTGAAAGCGAACAAAAATGGCGGTCTCTAGGAGTCGATGCTGTAACAGCACCTCCAGCAAAAGAACCTTGCATCACTCAGTATCGTTACATCTATCGCTCATTCGAGTGCGCTCGCTCCCAACGATCCCACACGTCGACCCAATTTTGGACATCTGTTCGACACATCTACGAGGCGAACGTAATTGAACGGTCAAGCCATTGCAGTCGTTCACACGTTCGACATACAGGAACACTTTACGTCGTAGCACTTGTAGTTTTTTTCGAAAATGCATATAGAAAAAAAAATCCTTCGTAGTGTTTGTTTATCGTTCTACATTAGTCACGTTCAGAGGGAACTGAGCTTCGATAAGCAGCGAAGGTTCTTAAGTTCAGTTTTGGAGTTAAAAGTACTTGAGATGTGTTTTTGTTTCGATTCGAAAAACAGAACGTCACACGTGAACTATGAAGATTAGAGATCTTATTACCTCCCCACTGAATTACCATAGACCGTTTTGACACATTATCTTTATCCATTATACAGAACAATTAATCAAGGAATTATTGGAGTAAAATTAAAAATTTAATACTTAAAAATAACATAAAATGTATGCCAACCTTTTTATAGCGTTCAGGGTTCATATTCGTCGCAAGGTCTTTTAGTAATTTACAATGTTCATGGTTATTAACCGACTTCAAAAAAGGAGGAGGTTTCTCAATTCGACCGTATATATTTTTATTTTTTTTATGTGTGTTCGCGCGTAACTTCGTCGTTTATGACCCGATTTTGATGTTTCTTTTTTTGTCGGAAAGGTGATATTCCAAGGTTGGTACCATGGTAAGGAAACCCGAATCTGACGATGGCATCCCAGAGAAATCGAGGGCAATCGTTGAATGTTATATTTATTAATAACGTTTTTAATTTTCTGATTGAAGTCGTTTTTTTTTGTTCAAAATTATACTTGTTTTATTGTATTATAAATAAAATTCACGTATAACGTAATGAAGAAATGGAATATATAATCCCTACTAATATTATAAAAGTGAATGTAAGTTTGTTTGTTACGCTTTCACGCCAAAACTACTCAACCGTTTATCACGAAACTTTGTACACATATTCTAAGAGGTATTACAAAGGACATAGGATTCTTTTTATTAAAAGAAATATATTTATAAAAAAATATATTTATTCAAGCGCTTCAACGCGGGCGGGGCCGCGGGCGAAAAGCTAGTATTATATATAATAGCCATACATATTCAGTTAATAATCTTTTTGTGTTACTAACACAAATAAACATATGCAACTGCATTGTGTGAATCGTGAGGCTTACTGTACTGGTGAATGGGAAGTGTAGCTAGACTTTAGTCGTTAAAAGTTGGTTCACAATAATCCATCGATGCTAGTTCACGACGTAAAGCTTCCGTCGTCCGCGTCCTCGACGCTGCCGCACGACTGCACTCGACGGGACGTATACTATTACGTAAGTTTTGAGTGTCGCGATGCGTGTAATTGAATGCATGACAAATTTCCATTACCTATTGTGTGGCGTCTGACGTTTGTACTCAACTATAAGTACTCAGTGCGCAAGCTTGGTATTTAATTAGGATGCTTTTGATATTTACACGTCGTTGTTAAATTTAAAATTTTGATTAATTTTCGAGATTTACTAATATTTTGGTTTAGCGAAATGATTTTTTTATGTTAACGCAGATTAAACAATTATTAAAGCTCATTTCAATTCCGTGACATGGGGAGTATCCAATGAAACAAATTCGAATGATTCCGTTTTTGTTCAATGTTTCGACAACTAAAAATTTTATTCGATATATTTGGAAGTCAACGTTCGCGTATCGTTCACCTACATAGCGGTTCCATTTATATTATTACGATTTTATTGTTCGACGCGCGACGTGTCCCTGTCGGCTCATAAATTCGAAGCTGTCGTTATGACAGCGAACAGAATTTCAAACGTGAAGTGTGCGTTTCGTGCAGCAATTCTCAAACTGCCTGCGCGGAGCCCTTGGGGTCCGGAGTTGAGCCGGCAGTTCTGCAATTCTTTTTACTGAATGTGGGAGCATTACTACTTACTTATTGACTGTCAATATACTACTGCCGGTTCGGAAAAAGGCCACTGAACTGAGAAGAACCGGCGAAAGAAACTCAGCGGCATAATTTTCTTTTACATTTTATTTGACAAAGAAACATGTTCACAGTATTTAAAGTCCACTTGAAAGAGTTTGGGGCAACTGTTCTGGTCGTCTCTTAAGCGTTCAAATCTACGGTGGCATGTGAAGTTTCAATATTGCATATTAAAGTAAAGATTTAGTTCGTATATTGCAGTGAAATTTTTATTCATTTGACTGTCTTTGTAAACTATGGAGACACTATGTTTATTTGGTTTCTCTGCTTGAAATCAATATCCAGTTGATAACAGAGGCATGTTCTGTGTCAGGTTTCGAGAATTTTATGACAGAGGATCTTCCCGGTCTACCTCAAGTTAGAGTTCTTCGTTTTTTTAAAGGTTTGGGAACCGCTGGCCCAGGGCACGGCACGGGTCGCGCAGCTGCCATCGACTCAGGTAGCTTTTTTCTGCGTCGGTGTCCAATGTCGCCTCGCGATGCACGACATGTCATCTCTCAACGCGTGGGGCCCGAATTCATCGGTAGACAACTTCTAAGCCGACACAAATGGACCCGACGTGTTTCCAAATCACGGATTAATATAACTATTCCGAAATCGGAATGTAATGTAACAACACTGATACCTTTCTGTGAATGAATTTGTTACTTCAGAAGAGAGATGTGAGAGTAAGTTGGTGTTTACCGAGTAGTTAGAGAATAATATGACTAAATTGTTATCACTTGGATAAAAACATTAACGTAATGTTATTTAATTTTGTATCTACCTAAAATCTTGTTCTATATAAATAAAAATGAATGTTGGTAAGCGATAACTCAAGAATGGCTGGACCAATTTCGCTAATTTATTTTTTTGTATGTTCCTTAACCTTCCACGGAAGGTTTAAATACTATAAAAAAATAAAAATACAATATTTTATATACCAGCTAGCAACTTACAAATAAAGATATGTGCAGACTAAAAGTAAAACTATTGTAAGCCTCTTATTGGATAAGCAATAACTTCATGACTGTATACTTCGTTGTTTTTGGTTTAGTTTGTTGTCCATACCCGCCGCGTCGGGATTTTATTGAAAATATGTTCACGACTCCCACCATAAAAGGGTTTTGCCATAGGTGACGGGACGACTTGTGCAAGTGTGCGGGAAGACGATGGATGCAGATGGATGTTAGGTAGGCTTATGCTCAGCAGTGGACTCAAACAGGCTGATGATGCAACCTAAAATAGTATTTGTCTCTTGAAGTCTCCATTTAGATCGTTTTCGTTCTGCAGTTTCGGCGTGAATATGATCAAACAAGTTGACACACAAACTTCCGTGTTTATAATATTAGTACGATATCGTGAACACGACTGCGTCGCTACGTAGATCGCAAGGAATTCGCCGCTCAACCCAATAGCAGTAATGCAGGCTCCAGCAACGGTGGGCGATAGGCATGTATTGAATAATAGGCCAAACTAGCAATTACCTTAGTTACGGGTTCCGTCGATGAGTCTCATAATGATTTACAGTTGTCTGCCAACTAGTTTAGTTGTCTGAAAAAAGCTAAACAAACTGTAAATGTTTCCAGTATTTTGTTAACTTTTTTCCGAGAAATAATATGTAGAGATGACTAATACGTATCGTTATAACTATTGCACAAATTGCACGTAGTCACACCCAGATCCGGAACAATTGTCTGTAATGCACAAATGTGCGGGATCGAACCTGAAACCGCAGTGGCGTTGCCGAATTGGATTATTAAAGCAAATCATTGTGCGTTATAGTACACGTAATAGGGTTATGTGAGAAGATGGCAAACCGTAGGGTTTTATATGCGTTTTCACCCGTTAATAAAGTGGGCCCCGGCTACCTCACTCACCAGACGAAATGCAGAAGTGCAACACTTCCACTTCACGCCAGTCTTTTGCGAGGTCGCGGTACTTACTTGGACGGACCTACCCATTCGTACAATAGAGAATACCGTTGCGTGGCCCTACCACAGTTAAGTTGGTATGACGTTTTCTTAATGAAACTGAATCAATGACACAATAATTACAGCAAATAACCATAAACATATCGGGAACAGTACAATTAGTATTTTTAACCATAGCATCTGGGTGTTTGTCCATGTGAAATTTATGTTTGTAAAACGTCCTTACAACACAGGATAATGTTATCCTAAAGTGAGGGCAATGTTTTTTAAAGAAGAAAAAAAAACACAATTTTACTTATATTCTTGTATTGTACTGTATCTTGTGTTGTCTTTCAATTATGGTGATGCTAGACAAATAGTTTTTCTTCGTTCTTCGGTACAACGTTTATCGGTAGTGCGAAGTGGAGCCTATGCGGGCATTTGTCGACGTTGCGTTCACGAGCGATATCCCTGCGGGCGCGCCCTGTATAGCAACGAGCCACCAGAAATTCCGGTCCGCTTGGAAAGCGAATCGCGATCGATAGCTGACCGGATATTACAAGGAACGTTGATAAACGTTAATACCTTATGCACCGTTCAAAACAGTTGGTGGCTTCGCTTTCGATATGAATTCTGTTCTTTGGCGGTAGTCTCAGCACTTAAGAAATATGTGGTAGGCCCATGCGACAGTCTTCGCTGTTGCACGAATGGGCAGGCCCGACCGGCGTGAACTTGAAGTATTATTATTTCACGTTTCTCTGACGAGTGGAGTAAATGGGGCCCACTTTTTATTGTTTGTAATGCATCTGCAAAGCAATCGGGTGGTGGTCCTGGTGTATTCATGTGGAAGAAAGGGAATGGTGTACGCCCGACGTGATTTTTTTATATTGATGACCAGTTACAATTCATTTTCTATAAAACCTAAAGCCATGCCGTTTTTCCAAACCACAGAAAAATACCATGGAATGTCTCTAGTTTTTAAAGGAAAATCGCTCGGTATTCCTTTCGTACACCTATATGGCACAGCACGAAATGGTGACAATGGTTGCGGCGTCTATTGTTTGCAACCTACAAAGAACTAAAGATAACATCGCGGATAGATTAACATTTGTCCCTTCGCAAAGACCGCATACCACAAAATGATCACACGCCTCGAAGTGATCCATTTCACGGTACCCGCGTCTTTGGCTGACAATGCGATCTGATTAGTACTCGCCTCGATCCCTTTGAATGGGTTGACGGACAAACTGCTCATTGTTTAGAAAGCTGGTGCCGCTCCTTGCTAGCTTCCGGCCCTCCGACTGCGTTAGCCATCAATGAAGGAGCTATATCGTTGTGGGTCACTCGTAATGAGGCGAAGGTAGCGGTGGTCGCTAACGCACTTTGTCTGTGGGCTTGATTCTCAATGGGATTAGGCGTGTGTGATGTGCGGAAATCGCCTTTAAACTATTACATGCCACAATGGTGAGGACCAGAACTCAATGGTTAGATATTAAGAATGCAGGTTGAAGCTTTCTATTTAAAATTCAGTTATTTAGTCATGTCCGTTGCTCATCAACTCCGTGTGGGATAACGTTCTTCTTCATGTAAAGTTTTTGTTATATTTGTATGTAGGACAAGTCGGTATTTTCACTTGACTGTTCCATCTTTTACGTGGGTTAAACGGGCGACGGATAAGATTGATGAAATGACGAAATACGTTTTCAATCGTCAAGACACTTCTGTAATGATTCGATAATTAACAATCACTAATTGAATTATTCACTGATCACACACATTGTTTTCTTAAATGACGTTCCACCGGAACACGTGGGTCGCGTGCGCAACGTCTTTGCTTCACAACCGCTCAATGATGACTGACCCACGAGAAAATGGCCGCCTCCCCAGTGCTCGGTGTGACGTCAACTGTCAACGGTTGACAGCTAGGGTTTAAAAGAATGAACGAATGAATGATGAACGAATATAGACGATTATGTTTCAAGATTTCATAGACGCGCCGTCACGGCCAACCCTGACTGTCGCACGACCTCGTGCGCTTAGTCGTCCTGATGAGGGTCACCTGAAAAGTGAAGACATTAGTATTTGCTCGACCATTCCTGACAGTTATGCAGTCATGAACTGACAGATAGGCCCGGGCGTACAAAGCCCGTACCACCTATGGTTTCTATAGTTTCAGCGTGGACCGGGCATACGGGGCCCCTTCGACCAGCTTGCCATTGCTTTCAGACTTGACCCGGGCACACAAGGCCCTTTCAACCTTTGCCATACAAGATTCTCAGTAAAACGTATGGCGTAGCCCGGGCATTCTAGGCCCTTTCGACCCGCCGTACATAACTACAGGGCGTGGACCAGGCATACTAGGCCTCTTCGACCAGCCGTACAGAACTAGGGGGCGTGGACCAGGCATACTAGGCCTCTTAGACCAGCCGTACAGAACTAAGGGGCGTGGACCAGGCATACTAGGCCTCTTCGACCAGCCGTACAGAACCAGGGGGCGTGGACCAGGCATACTAGGCCTCTCCGACCAGCCGTACAAAACCAGGGGGCGTGGACCAGGCATACTAGGCCTCTTCGACCAGCCGTACAGAACTAGGGGGCGTGGACCAGGCATACTAGGCCTCTTCGACCAGCCGTACAGAACTAGGGGGCGTGGACCAGGCATACTAGGCCTTTTCCACCAGCCGTACAGAACTAGGTGGCGTGGACCAGGCACACTGGGCCTTTTCGACCAGCCATATCCAACCAAAGCAAGCGCACAAGGCGCATCAGGTCTTATTGACCAGCGTAACGTAAGCTCAGCTAACTATAGTATCGACTCGTATTGGCAAATTCAAGGGGTTCTTCTAAGTGTTCACTAGAAATCTTGCGAACCCACACTGTTCCTGTAATAATGCTTTAGTTTACGTGACCTTCTATTTCAGAAACAACTGAAAGAGTATCGGATCCTGTGGGCAAGGTTCACTTGGAATCGAGACAGTAACGCCATCGCTATCAACTAATGATGTAGGGTTAATTTGTTCCCCGTCGATCGCCGTCTCGGTTTCCTGACTATCAAGCATACTTGTCGCAACTTCAGTAAGGCCCTCGAAACCTCTCGGTACTAAACGCAAGTTTTCGAGTGAGTATTTATAGACGCGGCTACCACCTGAAATAAATTTCAACTTATATCTGTCGTTACATCGATATAGCATCTTCCCTGATCAGCTATGACTCTTCTAGGTGCCCCAAATAGCGAGACCGCCTTTCTCAAGGCTTTCACCGCACATGCAGCATCTAGAGGCTGAGTCAAAATCAAAATCAAAAATACATCCATTCAAACAGACGCCCGCGCGCTCCAATGAATCGTCAAATTTTACATCAAAGACTGACGGAAAGCAGCCTCTGCTGAGAAGAGACCGGCAAGAAACCCAACAGTTGCTCTTCTTTTAAAAACTCCAGAGCACAATATAATATACAGGTACAACAGTGTCACTCCAGCCAACGTGAGTATCAACAGTACCAACTCCACACATTGGCGTTGTCGAAACATTCCGAAATGGCATAATATGCTTTAATTATAAGTTGATCTTTAATTTTACATTTAAATTGGTCAAGCGGCAGACCCAACATCGACTGCGGGATTCCACTATACATGCGCACACCTTGCCCCATGAATGACCCATTCACTCCTCGTAGACGAAACAATGCCGTAGTAAGTTTAAGAGTGTATTCTAATAATCCGTATTTGGTGAATCCGTCTATTATAACCGACGCGTGTTTTTTTCGGTCACTTTCCACTAAGCTTTCCTGTCAAATCAATGTGAATAGTATGCTAAGGCGTGCCTACTCTAAGTATCGGCCCTAATTGATCTTGTACTTTACCAATCTTAACTGCAAACGAAACCTATTCTGTTTATCCTCTAAAGGGAAATCTAATATGGTCCAAAGCTAATCTTAAAAACTATTTACAGTCTGCCTTTCACTATAGCTAAGCGAAAATGAAATGCAGAAAAGAATAAATTTATTCAAAAAGGACAAGAATCCTTCTGAAACTAATAAAAATAATATAACTTGATCAAGCACCAGATTACACTTTCCTGCTCCACACTAGCACATTGGCTAACTTATTCCCCATGGGAAGCCAGGGTCAACCCTCGCTTATGATCTCGCTAGAAGGCAAGATCCGACTGTATTACTCAAAACTACTGTCTATCCCCTACTCACGGACTATTCAAAGAGGAGACGCTGATTTATACTAGGCTACGGTTACGGCATTCTAGTACAGTCTCTGACCCAATGAATCGTGAACTTGTGTATTTATTTACGTACTTATTAAGTACCTCGCGCTCGGGCATGTTCCTGATAAGATTCTTAATACGACCATGACATACGATTTAACAAACAGAAATGAAACTATGAACTCATTTGGCATTTTCAAAGTCAAAATTTCTTTATTCAAATTACGCTTATTTAAAGCTCTTATTTAACGTCAAAAACTACCACGACGCACGAGTCTGCGAGAAAGTAATGCCCCGTTTTACTATAACCGGCATCAGATCATCACTTAACCCTCTGATTAGTTAATTATTAACCCTCTAAATAGTTAATTCTGGCCAAATTTGCTACTGGGGGCGCACCTTCCACTTCATTGTTTAGCAGAAGCATACATAGATCGGTTGGTTCAGTAAGATAGTAAACCTTGCGCATTACAAGCCATTCGTTTAATTCAGGCGTCCATCTTATAAATAAATTTTCGTCATCCATCTCTTGTTGTAAAATAGTCAGAGACAACTCTTAAAACTAATCAAACCATGATAATCCCTTCGCCTGAAGAGATTCTTTCGCCGCTTAGTCCTTACTGCGTGTATGTTACTTAGCACGTAGACCGTATACATACGTGTGAGACATCCTATACGCAGACCGTATTCATGCGTATCGCTCGAGCTCACGCCATTAGGTTGCTGCCACAAAGCAAGCGCACGTGGCTACTAGTTTACTCAGCAGCGAAGAATTCAGCATTCTGAAGTCCACTCTCCGCACCATAGCGCTGTGTTCCGCAGCCGCCTGCGTTCGTTTGAGTTTTTTTTTGCCGCAAATAATTTGCAAGCAAGCCAATTAGTGGGTTCATTACTCGTGGCTCACAGTGACCACACGCTGCACGATCGGCCAAATTAGATTATTAAATATTATAGATATTAAATATTAGACCCAGCCAGCCGCTGCTCACCATTACCTCGAGCGCATGCCAGCCCTTTTCGATTGTACATCAGTACATCAAAACTGATCAAAACTGGTGCACTTATGCCCTCAACAGGAACAACATATAAATCTGCCTCTAACAGGCATACATGTCATTCATTAGCAATTGGTTCTAAATTCGAAATGTAATGAGTTTGGTTAGATCTCACCGACATATCTTATCGCATCAATGATGCGATCGGCTGCACTGGAGTGCTCCAACCACGGCACTCACGGGACGCTCTGGTGAAGACGGGGCCACTGAAGCCAGCCTTAGAATCGCGGAAGCGGAAGCACAGCCGCTCGGCTGCCTTCGTTGTGGCGAAGCCGGATAGTGTTGTTCCTCCGATGATGTTAATCTATTGTTCAAAGTTTGTTGCATTGTTTCGGTTAGAACATGGCAAGAAGGTCCGTGTCGTTCGTGACGTGAATTACGTTGTCTAGAATTTGAACTGCGATTACTCGAACGTCTTTTACTTTCCCTCTTTTTATGAGGCATAACTTTCCACAGATATCTCAAATTGTATTAAGGTTTATTTCGAATCGAAGTATCAAAAATTAGGCAAAGTAAAGAAATGATTTGAGAAGTCACGACAAAGTAACAAAACGGAACCATTACCGTTTTACAAGTAAACTTTTCGCAAATAAACCTTCTAGTCACTGTTAAATAATAATAAAACTGGAACTTACTCACCAAAACTGTCGTTACAATTTACCAAAACATTTAACGGTGGTAGGGCCACGCAGCAGCCTCGGCTGTTACACGAATGGGCAGGCCCGTCCGGGTAAGTACCACGACCTCACAGAAGACCGGCGTAAAGTGGAAGTATGACAAATACTTTCGCGTTTCGTCTGGTGAGTGAGGTAGCCGGAGCCCAATCTTCAAAAGGTTGTCAACGCATCTGTAACCCTCGGGTGTAGCAGATGTCCATGGGCGGCGGTATTCACTTACCATCAGGTGAACCGTCTGCTCGTTTGGCAACTTTTCACATTAAAAAAAAAAAAAAAAAATTATCACCGTTTAATTTACAAGGGTAGGCACCCAAGGAAAAAATACGTCGTAGATTGTTTACTACTTAAAAACGTTTCATATCAGGATGTACGGATTTAAGACACGTAAGTTTTCGAATCCCACTTCTGATGTAGGACAAGTCGGTATTTTCACTTGACTGTTCCATCTTTTACGTGGGTTAAACGGGCGACGGATAAGATTGATGAAATGACGAAATACGTTTTCAATCGTCAAGACACTTCTGTAATGATTCGATAATTAACAATCACTAATTGAATTATTCACTGATCACACACATTGTTTTCTTAAATGACGTTCCACCGGAACACGTGGGTCGCGTGCGCTACGTCTTTGCTTCACAACCGCTCAATGATGACTGACCCACGAGAAAATGGCCGCCTCCCCAGTGCTCGGTGTGACGTCAACTGTCAACGGTTGACAGCTAGGGTTTAAAAGAATGAACGAATGAATGATGAACGAATATAGACGATTGTGTTTCATGATTTCATAGACGCGCCGTCATGTATATTACTCTCTAAATAATATTGTTGTTTCAAAAGACCTTCGGGATGTCAACATTGTCCCATCGTATGTTGATCGTTTTTAACAATCGTTAAAACGAAAGGTGTCACTTCCGGCTCCTCTCACTGGCGTTTCCGCTTTGACCCTCTCGATGACGATTCGAAACACCCATTCGCCGAGCGTGAAGCGTACCTACATTGGAATTGTTTGCGACGGATCGGACGAGTTTGAACATCATTTCGACTTCATTCGAAACAATTGTTAGAGAATTATTTCCCGTTTTATAATTCGTATTGTTTGTCTTTCATCTCTATTTTTCGCCGAGATAGCTCAGTGTCCGGGCGCTCGCCTTTGATTCAAAACACTTGAGGAAACTGAGCTCCAGCCCCGGCGCCGGATTCAATGAAATTGTCAAGTTCAAGTGCTGACTTGTCACGTGCTTAGCGGTGAAGGAAAACATCGGAATAAAACCTGTATATTTTTCGAAATAAGAACAAAAACAATATTTCCAAGATATGTGAAGTTAGCCAATCCGCAGTTGGGCCTCGTGGTGGATTATGCCCTTAAATCTGCTGTACAGAGGAGGCCTTTGCCCAGCAGTGGGACAGTCTGTTACTATATTTACTTATTAGGCAACAAACAAAACTATTTAACGAAACTGTTTAAAAATAATAAGTACAAGAAGAAGAAGTCATTCAAGAAGGGATCAATTTGTTCGATAACCGACGTATGGTTTTTACGCGGCTGCGAGCCACGGCTGTTACTTCAATATAATAACTTTTTATTTTACGCATATTAAAAAAAACATTGTCCTTACTGTAGGACAACATTATCCTGTGATGGACTTTTAAAAATAAAAAAAAACATAAATTTCACGTGGATCAACATTAAAATCCGAAATGATTACCTGTGGGTACACACAAATAGCGTCGAAGCCAATACAAAAAGAGGTTTAAAGCCATCGAAAAAGATTAAAAAGTTTAAATAGGTCGTTATTATGTAAAACGTGTTTTGTGCTAATGTACAACGAACGCGTATAAGGGACGTTTTTGAATTACACCACAACTGAGCCCTCGCCGAGTCAATTACCGTCTGGCCATTTGATTACAATCGCATTTCTCGGACTTGACCCGGGTTCTTTGAATGCTTTGTAATGGATTTCCTTTTGTTCAATAAAATATGCAATCCCGAATGCCGATACTTAACACGGTGCAGTTTTTTCCCTTTTTTCGTTTAAGTAAGGCT